TCATTTGGAATAGTATTTGGCCCCAGGTCGCGCTCGCGCCATGGGCCGCCGGTTCCCGGATGCGGATGGGCAGGGCAGCGTACGGTCCCTGTGGCCGTGTGGTCCAGCCGTCCCCGTCCAGCTGCACCATACTATTTGAGGCTCAGGTTCCAACATGCACTGCACCCTCCAATAACCGAACCACATGTCCGTTTCGTCATCAATTAGCAAGAGCAGAACCAGCCACGTCAGAATTGTAGCAAGACTTTAGGGTGTCTTTGGTAGTGATTCCTGCTGCTCCAGATCTCTGACTCAAATACTGTGTATACACTGTTGCTGAAATCTGTTTTTCTCTCTTCTCTTCTTCTCTCTCACTGACGCACAGAGCTGCAGAGCTAAAAATTTTAGCTTCACCGGCTCCTAATTGAGCTGAGAGAGAGGGAAGAGAGAGTTTTGGCTTCCATAAAAAGTGCGCTACAGTATTTACAAGACAATTAGTTGGTTCGTTGGTTTCACCACGGCTCGTTCGTTGGTTTCAACCAAAACTTATTAATTAGTTAATAATATTTTTCTCTCTAAACAAACCAGCACCAATCAGGTTTATCAGCCAAAAATCCATAAGCGAACAGCTCACGAGCCGGAGCCGCCGGATCCATGCAAAACGGACCCTTACTGTAAATTCCATCGTACGTCGTACAGTACTAGCTCACGCGCCAACAGGGCCGGCCTACTCGAGGTGTGATGGTGTTGCCGTTTTCTTTATGAACTTCCACAAAGTAGTGCGTACAAACAAGTGAACAACCTTGGGAGGAAATTTAGCCCCCTTTTGTATGGCTCTCCCATCGACTTTTGCAGCAGCTTTTGCATAAGCTATACCAAACACATGAATTGAAAACGGCTTTATCACGTGAGCCAGCAAAAGCCGTATGCTGAAATGAACTAGGCGTCGCGAGCCAGAAATAATGGCTCCCCCGGCTTCTCCCCGTCTACGTACAGAAAGTTGGGAGAAATTACCGGTTTGCCACTGCCTCAATAATTCCCCATACCGGTTCCTCACTCTCACCCATCCGCATCCTCTCTCTCACCCATCCATCCTCCTCTCTCTCTCACGGTCCTCATGAGTCTGGCAACGGTGAAGCGTTCTGGCCATGAACCGGCAAGGGCGATGGGACGAGGAGGCAGCGAAATGACAATGGCGCAATGGATGGATCCGGCGGAGGCATCCCGATCCACCTACTGCTTTTCCCGGAGGCGCGACTTCCCTCATCCGGCCGGGCGCTTCTCTTCATCCATCCCGTGCCGCCTCCTCAACCAACCGTGCCCGCCTCCATTCAGGCCGCCTCCCTTCGGGCCACCGGTGCCGCCTCCCCTCAGGTGCCTTCTCTTCATCCTGCCGGTGCCACCTCCCCTGAGGCCGCGGGTCATGGCGCGACGGTATGGTTGGATGCTATGTGTATCCCCTGAATGTATTATTTTGTCAACAACACTTTGTAATGACCACCTAATTATTAGCTTACCTATATTTTATATTTATTTTTTTATTTCACGCAAATCATATTATTAAAAGAGTCATCACATAAAACTCATATCTCCAAACAATAAACATATGCAAGGGCACAATGGACAATTGATATCTTCTATACATTCTAAAAAGCTAGGAAAAGCTGTTTTGCTAAACGTTTTTGTATAAAATAAGCCAGAGCCAGAAAATACTACTTTTTCATAGGAGCCAGAGCTAGAGCTATTTTTTCACGAGCCACGGCCGTGCCAAACGGGCCCCTAAGAACGCCTCTACTTTCCTCAGCTTCACTGAGGACTTCATGCGTTGCCGAACTCACTCAGCGGCTCAGCCCAGCCCCCATTTGTCGTCACGGGCTCCATGTCCATGGGGATCGATCACGCAACCTCCGAACCAGCGGCACGAAGCGAAATTGCGATTATACAAGCTTCTGCCTAGCTTCCGTGGCCACGTTTTTTCAAAACAAAACAGTACAAATCTGCATCACCTCCGAACACTTTTGTCGCCTTCTCGTGTTTTTTGAAAGAAAGGTCGCCTTCTCGTCTGGGGCGGAAGAACCTAACGAAGCATTTGGTTCGACGAAATGTAACGTAACCAGAATACTTCTGGGAGTAGATGCCGATACACATGCTTGGTTCGACTCGGTCCGCAATGAGATATCACGTAATCAGATAACGCTCTACTCTCCGCTGATATCGGGCGTCTCCGACCTTTATCGAATTACGCTGCTGTCGATATACTGTAGTGCCGCTGCCACGTCCGTACCAAACAAAGACAGCAATCAATGATCCCACCGTCCGTGTGAATTGATTTCGGTCCCAGTTCATTGGTGAATGCTTGGTCTTTGCTTTAGTCTTTGGTTTAAATTTGGTAGTGTTGATTTTTTTGAGAAAGCAGAGGCGATCCAAGGCCCGGGCTAAGGGGCCTATTGGCCGGGGTGCAGCCCAAATTTCCTACAAGCATGTCTTCTGCAGCCCATGAAAAGTCCCGACGTTGAGCCCAAGATAGCCCCTCCTACAACCCGTCCAAGCAGCCCTTTACTAATTAGCCCCCCTGGATGGTATGTCTAGATCCGCCCCTGGAGGAAAATATTATTGACTGACTGATTTGGTTTAGGCTGGTTGAAACTAACAAGCGAACACGGGTCGGGGCTGAAACCATTTACGTTACCTGAGAATGCACCTAACACGTTGTAAGTTCCCCTCGTATTTCTTCGTCTCCTTCCGTCACACGGGTCGGGGCTAGGAGCGGTTGGCTGGGCTAGCTGACCAGCCCTCTTACATAAACACTGTTTATATGAACCAGCCAGTAATACATCTCTCCCACGTAAACAAAACAGCAACCATACGAATCAGTTAACCGAACACGCCATCACGGCTGCCATGCCGTGCACGCCGTCGGGCTCGCACAGGAAATTTCGTAGCCGCCTGACGTTTAAGCCCGGGGCCCGGATGACAGGGACACGCACCGCGTGCACGTTTATTGGGACCGCCGGACAGTTTCCTGCTTCGGCTATACTCCGGAGGAATACAGGTACAGACTACTCCGTACTGTATACTGTATGACGGAGATCCATTATTTCTGCCTCGCAAACAGCTGCGTGGCTGTTTGGATCACGGCCTCCAGCCAATGGCGGCCAGACAAGTGGTCCAGCCCAAGCGCTCGAATTGAACGCCAGCGGCCAGCGGGGGACGACTCAGAACCCAAAGAAATATTCGGTTCTTCTTCGGTACGTTCGACTAATTATAGGTAAAAAATATTAATATTTATAATATAAAACAAATGTCATTAGATTAATTACGAAATGTTTTTTGAACAATAAATTAATTTAGACTTATAAATACAAATAATACTCTATTTACTAAAAACTTGATCAAACATAGACTTAATTCGTAGTTACATTCTTTCATGTAAGAGGACTGCTAGGAAATAAAGCCTGGCCCTCCACAGCGTGTGGATTCGCTGCCGATGCTTGAAACGTCGTGTCACGACTCACGAGCAATGCAAGCTTCGCTACTAAACGCTACACGCTACAGTTAGCCTGTTCATTCGTCGATTTCAGCCGGTCCAAACCGACCACTCAACAGCGTGTTGCATGCAGCATCGCTCCCTGGCACCATGCTTCTCAGCGCCGGCGGCAAGTGTTTTACTAGCAAGCGACGGCGCACAGGCTTTCTCCAAAACTACGAAAATGAAAATTCGAGCATCAGGGTGGCTGTCATGCATCTCAACCTAGGGCGCGTTTAGTTGCCGTCTGAATCGGCGCCACCTGAAATTCACCAACACTGTAGTGCACTGTTGTTTTCATTTGTATTTAGTAATAATTGTCCAATCGTTGACGTAATTAGTGCAAATCGCTCTCTGGCACCATGCTTCTCTGCGCGCCGTTTTTTATTTTTATTTAAGCAAGCGACGGCGCACAGGCTTTCTCCATGGGAAATCTTTTTTTGCAATAGTGTCAAATTTAAAATCAGGGTGGCTGTCATGCATCTCAACCTACAGTTGGGCATTTCCAGAGCCCGGCGCTCAAAATTCTTGAACCGCTTGCCGCCTGCAGTCCCGCACCTTATCCTGTCACCAGTCACCACACGCGAACCCCCTTTACATGACGGTGCTCATCGTTGTTCAAGTAAACATTCAGATTTGCTCAAGTGTATTTGGTGATTGATATTTGCATATCCATCGGTTCAATTTTATAGGCCATTGAACTTTTTTTGTCGACATATACTAGGATCGCGCTGTGTGTTAATCAATGACAGGGCCTACGAACACACACACACACACATATATATATATATATATATAAAAATAAAATGTTGCGCAAAAAAAGAATGTTATAGGTTCATAATAAAATTTCAGGTCGAATAAAAAATATGATGAAACCATACGTGATTTGTTCTATAAAAATGACTTACAGAAAAGACAGTTGCAACTATATTAGGCCCTGTTTAGATGCCACATAAAATCCAAAAATTTTCAAGATTTTCAGTCACATCAAATCTTGCGGCACATGCATAGAGTATTAAATGTAGATAAAAAGAATAACTAATTACACAGTTCAGATAAAATCCACGAGACGAATCTTTTAAGCCTAATTAAACTATGATTGGACACTAATTGCCAAATAACAACGAAAGTGCTACGGTAGCTAAAAAGCCAAAAATTTTCGCATCTAAACATGGCCTTAGTCACATGAAGAAGATGATAATCTAGACGGCTTGATCTAATAATGGCAAGTGAAAGGAAGCAACTTTATACCGATAAGAAATATATCTAAAATAGTACTGTTAACCCCTTATAAGGAGGAGGAGACACCCGATCTGAACCGAGTATGAAAAGATATACCGAATACAATATACGAGAACAACTCGCTAGAGGAACACACACATACAAAAAAGGGGAAAGCAAAAAAAACTTGCTACTCGAACTTAGGTGTAGCTTCACACTTGCAGATCCACAAACTCCATCCAGACTTGAGACAAGCAGTAATGATGTGTGAATCTCACTCGTTGTAGAAGAAGACCTTCTCAAAGCACGGCAGGTACTCGGGCTCCAGCGAGATGAGCACGGCGATGCCGTCGTCCCTGTCCGGACCACGCGGCGTCATATACGCCGTGCCCACGCCGAACATCTGCGCCGGCGCGACGAACCGCGGCGCGCCCGAGCCGAAGTCGGCGTCGTACATGGCCATCCCCAGCCAGCTCACCGCCCACAGGTCCGTCGCCGGCACCAGCTGCTCCCTGCTGGCCTCCTGCTGGCCGCCGCCGCCTGCTGCATTCTGCTGCAGCTCCAGGTAGTCCAGCACCGACCGCGCGAAGGCGTCGTCCACGCGGTCCACTGCCTTCTTGATGGTCTCCGCCACGGACCCCAGCGAGCTGTCGAGGACGGTGCTGACGGGCGCGGTGACGAGGTCGCGCACCACGGCGTTGCCGAAGAAGGTGCGCGGGAGCGGGGGCCTTAGGCGGTGCCGGACGTTGGCCGGCAGGCCGAGCCGGGTGTCCGCGCCGGGCGCCAGCCCGCGCGCGACGCAGACGCAGCGCCACAGGTGCGCGGTGAAGGCGCAGTAGGTGGACACGCCGGGCGCGCAGCGGGACTTGACGTCGGCGAGGAGCTTCGGCGAGACGGCGTAGATGCGGGTCACGTAGGGCCGGGGGCGGCCGCTGAGGAACGCCGGGGAGTAGACGAAGTGGTCCGAGGTCGGGCTCGGCGGGCACCGTGCGCGGAGGAGCGTCCGGTCGTGGAACGGCGCCTGCGGCCCGCACGCCTCCGCGACGTCGAGTCCGCGTGCCACCCCGGACCACGTCTGCATAAACTGGAACGCGCCGACGCCGTCCAAGGCCGCGTGGTGGATGGCCGTGCCGAGCACCACGCCGCCGCACTTGAGAAACGTCACCTGCAGGCCGGGAGCCCGGGACGACGTAGAATCAATCATCCGGCCAGATTTGAGTTGCATGCATGTTTACATTTAATTAATACCTGGAACATATAATTAATACCTGGAACATGGCCATGGGGCTGCTGGTCGCATCGCCGGACTCCGCTACCGGCACAAAAGTTCTCCTGACCTCTGCCGACGGCTCGTAGTCGTCAAAGACGCCCGTGCCGGTGAGGTCCGCGTTGGCGACGACGAAGAGCGCGCCCTTGCTGTTGCACTCGATCTGCAGCCGGCCGTCCGGGCCAACACCGAGGCGCCCGGCGAGTGGGTAGAATGGCACCAGAGCGGCGGCCAGCGCGGCCCTCAGCCGGTCCGGCGCGAAGGAGCCCGTGCGCAGGGCGGCACCGCCCTGCGCCGGTGCCGGGTAGTAGTAGACGAGCGGCGTGTGCGTCTGCGGCACGGCCAGGTCAAGGTTGGACAGCCACAGCGGCTGCCGCGGCGTCTCCTCGCTCGGCGCCACCAGCGCTGTGTCCACCACCACCACCTGTTTCGTCATCTCTCTCCCCTCTCTGCTGACTATCGGCTGTCGCACGTTGCCACCGACGTACACAAAAAGAAAAAGCTGGAGCCACCGAGTGGTGCTATTTGCATCCTCTCCGTCTCTGTGGGTGAGTACATATATAGAGGCAAAGGCAGATGACAAAGGCCTCTGCGACCTGCAGTACCGTGGTGAGAGTCCAGGACACGTATCGACCGCACACGCGTTTATTGGACAATTACAAAACAGTTTTTGCTACACTAGCAACCGAGCCCAAAGAACAAATAATTTCTTGCACGGCAGCTACAAGATTTGGAATTTTGGAGTCGGGAGATTTTGTTACTCAATGTTCGTGACAGGTTGTGATACCCAAATTTCATACCGTCACTTAGCATGTCTTAGAGCTCCGTGTTATTGCGAGATACGAGTTGTTCTAGCTCGTATAGTCGTATAAGTACGGCTTATACCGCAGCCCCTGCCACGGGATTCCGTCTCACGCACGGCTTTCCTGTGCGTTGCTAATCAGCAGCGCGTGAAGCATGCTGACCAACCACAAGGGGCCACGCAAGCCATCAAAGGAAACACATCTATCACCTAGCTAAACCACGCAGGCACAGATCACGCCGTGCATACATGTGCACCTATGCACAAGCCATATGATCCGCCATGCATAAGCTCGTACACAAATAATAATGACCGCGCAGGCGCGCACTAACATTTGTCCCAAGCATCTACGTACAGTCAGCACGTGCATGCCAAATCACCACCGCGTCAACATCAGACGTGAGAGACTTTTCTTAGCCACACCGTCAAGGCGTGAATCTTTCCACTCAAATTGTTGGCAAAGACAAACACGACACTATAGCCCGCACATCTCCTTTATATATACATTGATCACTTAGCTCGAACATCCGACGTTCTTGGCCGATAATATCTTAGTTTTCTCCATAAACTTAGTGTTAAATCTTTAGTTTTTCCCTAAACTTAGTTTTAGTCCTATCGTCGACCATGTTTCGCCTCCAAGCAACACCTATACATGAACAAACACGCAAACGTGTATGAGCACAACTCCATGACTTAAGTCAAGTCAATCCACACATTATCTACTTGAGCATATCATGCAACAATACCAAATCATCATGCATGCTATCACAAGCATATATAATAAACAAATGCACATTAGCTATGTCAAAATTCTAGTCACTTTGCAAAGCCATTTCATCTCAAACCGAATTTCCAGAACATGATCTCACAATCTCCCCCTTGATATAAAACATTGGCAACAACATATAAATAATGAACATTGGAATTCAAATCAATTAAATCATTTTCTAATCAAAGAAAAAGTGAAAATTAAAATAAAAGATCATCTAAAAGATCCAAGATCCAAAAAGAGAAAAATTCTTCCCATTTCTTATTTCCCATAATCCCCTTACCATTTCTTTTTTTCTTCCTTCATTTTTTCTGCACTTAGTTTACTTTTCCCCTCTTCTCTATCCACCTTATCTTCTCGACAGCACGTCTCCTCGCTCCTCAAGCTCGCCACTCGCCCATTGTCGTCACTCCCTTCCTCGTGTCACCGTTGCCCTATCCTCCTCGTGCCGACGTCGCCCCGTGCTGCGCCGCCTTAAGTCTACTCCTCCCTGCCCTGCCTTCGTCCCTCTCGTATCTTTGCCTTGCCCCAACATCACCTCACACTGTATTGGCACCATGGCAGGGCAAATCGGATCACGGTCACATGTTAAGCCCACATTATCAAGAGAGAGAGGGCAAGCGAAGTTACTATCTTGGTTCTCTCTTTCTCCCTGCTCCTCTCGGCAAGATTCCTAGAGCTTCACTAGCAGAGCGGAGCACCATGGCGACGCCACTAACTAGCGAACGCAAATCTGGTGAACGACCAGACAACCTCGCGACTTTACATTTTTAGCAAAAAAATTCCACAACTTTCCTTTTTTGGAATCTTTTCCATTTTTAGCAAATTTGTTTTCGCAACTTTCCTTTTCTGGAAAAGTTAAAAAGTTATACTCACAACTTTTACGTATAACTCCTGAAACAAACTTCAACGTGTTATTTATACATATAATTTATGCACATGACTTCAGCATATACCTTTAACGTGACAAAGTTACGCACATAACTTTTACATATAACTTACTACGTGACAAACTTATACGCATAACTTTTATGTATAATATTTTGCGGAACAGACTTATCAACATAATTTCATAGAAAACTACAAAAATTATACACAAAACTTTTATATATAATTTGTTTGTATAACTTAGATATATAACTTAATAAATGACTTAGATGTAAAGTTGAGCGTATAAGTTATATTTAAGAATTTAAATGTATAAATTAATATCATAACATATTAGTAGAAATATGAAAACTATGTACGAAAATAACTATGTAGTATAACTTTATAAATATATAACAAAAAGAAAAAAAGGTAAAAAAATCAAAAAAGGAAGAAAAAAGGAACGTGCAGGTGTAGCCATGCCACCGAACGAATCCGACTAAAAAAAAAAATATTCAGTACAACTTGTGTGCATAAGTTATACTAGAAAAAAATTGAAACATATGCAAGTGGGGTCTAGTTATGTTTATCTCGTCGCATAGAACACATCAACATAGACATAATTGAAATTGAATACACCATTCAGAAGTTATAGCAATTTAAAATAAATGTTTTTCTTTTTAAAGTGACATCAGCAGCCGACAGTGTGGTTCATGCGTGCACGCTCGTTCGCTGAACAAGAATTGAGTGAACGCTCGCTCAAATAGATTTGGGGTGCCAAGGGGCGTTTGGTTGCTGCGTACACCAAATGTGCCCTATGAATTTTATTAAAGCAAGTGAAAAATCGTTTAACGATTCATCATATTTATCTTGAAAACGCATGTAATCAACTTTACCATGTTTTATGGACGACACTTCTTCGTAAACTATCCCTACGAAATAAAAATATAGTTGAAGACAACGTAAAACATAAAACGGATTTTCAGTAACTCGAGGAAAAAAAAAGATTTTTATGGTGGCGTCGACCTACTGTTTACAGTGATCTCCATGGACATGGTTCCCAATGCTCGCATGTGAGGACCAGGCATGGTTTCTCTGTCTGGTGCAGTCGTGCGGACGTAGACAGGGTCGTCGGAGGCAGCCACAGGAGGGGCAAGGAGTCGTGGCGTGCCAGCTGCCCTGTAGAGGCTGAACGGCACCGTGAGCGTGAGGCTCAAACGCAGCAATGGCCTGTCGTTGGCAGCAGGGCCGCCGCGAGCTGGCGACTGCCCACCTCCCTCCCCGATCTCGCAACCGGGGCGGCGGGCTCACTGATTGGTCGAGAGCTACGCCTATCAACATTCCGATCTGTGGTGGTTAGATTCGTGTGGTGGATTTGACGGCAGGTTCATTGAAATATCGAGTAAATAAGTACTCCATTTGTATGGTTGCCAGTTGTTTTACGTGGTAGTAGTAGTAGTTTTTTTAAAGGAAAACTACTATAGCTACTACTAGGAGTACTAGCTAGCCTTGGCCGTGCATGGAGGCAGGTCACGTGCGAACTTGATGGCTCGACAGCAGTCGCCAGCTAAGACTCGTAGCAGTGGACGGAACTGGATCTCTAGGCCTTGTTTAGATTGAGAAAAATTTCAACCCGATGAATAATCGATTTTCGTCTTGAAACTTTGTCTAAATCGTGGACCAACCAGCTTAAAAGATTCAGAACTAAACTGTGTAATTAGTTATTTTTTTACTTATTTAATCTCCATGCAAATGTCCAAAATTGATGTGATGGAGAGAGAGTGAAAAAAACTTTGAACTTTGAAGGGAACTAAACAAGACCCTTTAAGCTTGATCTTGTTTTATTGAGAGAAAAATATATTAAGCATTGTTTCTTTGGTCAAAAACTTAAAAAAATACGGTTCAACAATTGTTGTGAGAAAAAAATACTGTTCTAACTAAAAAAAAATCGAACCAATCGAATATAGAGTAAGCCGAACAGAGCCTATGAGTTAATTGATAAGTCCGTGCTGAAATCGACGAGCGAACACACTGATTGGATGCCAATGAGGTGACGGAGGTTGGTGCATTTTCAGTAAGTACTACAGCTGGTCCAGATGATGCGGCTGCACTGCAGCCAGCGATACTGCAACACTACTATCGCGCTAGTGTATTGCTGCAGCAGCCGAGAAAATCAAAACCCACAACAGGCTCCATCGGCACCTTCGCAAGCAGCAGACAAGTTTGGGAATCCAATCCAAATAAACTGACTCCATGCAACTCGAGCTCCAGCGTCAGAAGAGGCCGACAAAAATCTGTTCTATGCACCGAACATTGAACAATCCGAACGCTTAAGACACGCTATCAGTAAGGTCCTGTATCAATATCTTGCTGGTTATTATTATTTTTATGCTCTTTACGCTTAAGACATATAAGCACATACATGTTGTCATCGGCTGGATTAAATTGCTAATAAAATTATCTAATATTCTAACAATCCAAAAAAGTGATAGACAATTCTCGGTAGTTGGCTCTGCGAATATGCTAAAACCGAATGTCTTTGAGGGCACTTATTATAAGAGATGGCGGCAGAGGTGCATTCTATGGTTGACTTCTATACACTACTATTTTGTCACTGAACCTAGGGCTGTTGGACCACAAACTCCTGATAAGGAGCGTGCGTTCAAACATGTTGATACTACGTTCAAGGCTGTAATTCTCAGCGTGCTAGGAGACTCCATAGTGGATGCATATGTGCCGCTACAGACTGGTAAAGAGATGTGGGATGCACTTGAGGCCAAATATGAGATTTCTGATGCTGGTAGTGAGTTGTATGTCATGGAGCAGTTTCATAACTACAGGATGGTTGATGACAGTTCTTTAGTAGAACAAGCTCATGAGATATAAACATTGACAAAAAAGCTCAAAATTTTTGGTTGTGTGTTGCCTGATAAGTTTGTGGCAGGCTGTATCATTGCTAAGCTGCCACAAACTTGGACATATTTTGCTATTTCTATAA